TCTGTCCGAGTATTTCAAGTCGGCACCCAAGCAACTTACGGCGTCAAAACTTGCCTAAGGGTCCCCCGGCCAAGTGCCACCCCGGGACCGTGGCACCAACTCCCACGCAAGTCTGGGTCGCGTGCGAGAGAGTGAAAGTCCTGGCGGGAAAATCGCCAACTCGGGAACCACAAAAGCTAGAAAGCTGAAACTTTGCACTTATGTTCCCCGTCCACATAGAACACAAGGATTTCAAATCCAGCCCCAGGCATGCGCGGTTCTCACGTACGGTCCCGTGAAGGTTCCTAACGGGAAAAATGCTAACTTGAAATCGAGGAAAGCTGGGAAGCTGGAATTTTCACGGAATGTTTCCAACATGTGTACGGCTTAAATTTAACAAATTCAGCCCCCAGTCATCCGTGGTTACCGCGTATGGCCTTGTGAAATTTTTTGGCTGGAAAATGGCTAAGTCGGGAATTAGGAAAGCTGGGAAACTGAAATTTTAGAGGAATGTTTCCTGTCCAAGTACCGCATAATAATTAACTTCCCGAACTTCGAGCACCAGTATTTCATACATTCTAGCTACTGGGTTTCCGAGCGCCTTCATTACAGCACAAAATACTGCTAAAACGCATGATCGCACGGACCCGCCCGGTGCGCGTCGCCAATGATTTGTTCAGGATCCTGCCATCAGCTGTGTATGGGCTACGGCTGGGAAATGGATTCTTTTTCTCACCGATGCACTCTTAAAACACATATTAAAATGTTTTTCAGAAATAATGTTTAGAGATATCAACTGCAGTGTTATCCACTATAGAAAGAAAGAAAACGATCCGATGATTCACGAATCATCGGATCGCTTCTACGTGTCTCACCACCGCGTCTTCATAAAGTCCTGTCAGCTGAGTGACTTATTAGGTTGTTTCTTCATTTTCGTATATGCCAGTCAAAGCGATTCCTGTGATCCGCTCTTCTGTTCAGTCATAGTTGCGTAACTGAATAAATTTCGCGTTCTGGCACTAGCTCAGCCCCGCATCTAACACGCGAGATTCCCTCCATTCACCAACACACCTATGCACACCAACAAAACCTCTCCATTCCTTAGTTGAAGGTGCAGTAGATGAACGGAGTTGTGGATATGGTACCTTGAAAGTTTATGCCATGCATAGCAAATCCAGTTCCCCAGGAATCGCCAATGTCATTGTTATGCGCAAAACCGATGATTTGTGTGAATGGGTTAAATTGGGCGCTGCCACTAAAATGCTTATCCTGTCCCGGAAGAGATACATCCGGAACTGACTGCGTCTGAAAATTGACAGAATGCCTAGTCTTATTTCCACTTTTGGTACTTTCACAGTTTTTTTACTAAAATTCAAGTCGGGTGAATGAAAAATAGCAGCACTTACAAGGGAACTAGTATAAACATGCGTTTTTGCACAGTTCTGCCGGCAAGCATTTGTTGCCAAAAATTTTGAACTCGCTTGCGGTTTGCAGACGTTTCGGTCATTTTTTGAAAAAATTTTTTCAAACCCGTTTCCCGACCATTGTTTTCGTTTCTGCACTTCCAGCAGGAAAAAAACAGGAAAACTAAATTTGTGGTATATTCTTTTAAATCGTAATAATTTTCATGTTTAAATTTGCCTTCCTCTTTTTGCTGAGTCCCAACTTTTGGCATCACTTCCAAATGGGCAGTTAGATTGGCGTAATTCACTGGCTGGTCCTCCACTTGTGTAGGCGGCAGTAGGCTATTTTCATTATCCGGTCACCGGAAATTATTTTCTTTCATGCAAGATTTATGGTAAAATGCGGTAGTAACCGCACTAGTAAAGCAACAATCGTTCATACAGTTAATGACATGATTGCTACACGATCTCATCGGCAAGCTTGGTGCATCGTAACCTAGGTTACATATGTACAAAATGTGAGGGAAGGGCATCAAAAAACATTAGAACGAGGTGTGTGAGCTGGAAAGAAACCTTATGATAAAGCTTGTTGCCAGCAATGTATAGATTCGGGAATGCAGGTCCCGAGCGATGGTCCGAAACACCAAACGGTAATTTGACAAGTCCAATTCCACGGGGTCGATGTCGCGCAGCGTAAATGCCTGCAATAATTCAAATGAAGTTACTCTCGAAAAAGAATGCGAAAAAACAGTGTTAGCTTATAAGTGATTCGACAGAGCGCCATTCCACTCAGCTTACCACTGCTCATCGTAAGCGCAATAATCCAGAGCATAAGCTGCTGCGAATTCCCAAAAGAGCCTATCATTCCATTTTGATTTGCAAGCGTTGCTGCAAACGTAAGCTTTAAACTGTAGTAAGAGTTCACGCAATTTACGAAACGTCAGATATTAAGAGGCAAAGGTTAATTCCACGTATCAAGAGCCAAAAAGCTAGTTGCATACATTGAGACAATCGCTAGAAGTAGCAGGTTAGCGAGTGGTACTGTAAAAAGCCAATTCGGAGACAGTGCGCCGAAGTGATAAAGAGGGCAACACACATAACTGAAAATATATTTCTGACTGTTGACCGTGTTACTTGAATATTCGTGTGGAGAGGCAATTTGCATCTGGCAAAACGCCTGGCCCAACTTTTTCCGACGCATTACCGCCCAAATGAAGGCTTCATGCTGAGGCCACAGTCTGTTCTGTGAGGGGATAGTCAGTAGCATCGTTTGAAGTGCTGTAGATGATACTGGGTGCAAAGAGCAGCAGTGGCGGTGATCTAAAAAGCACGTCGATGGTGAAAATTGAAGACGCAAAACGACAAATTGTATCTAAAACGAATGACAGGCTGGGGTCGGAAAGTTTGACCCATTAACCCCTCGACCAATTATCGTCGTATCAAATATCACACATTGTAAATCATCATTCATCTTGGACACGTGGGATTTATTGATAACAAATAACATTGATATGGTGCTGGAAAAATCATCGCACTGCTTCTCAAAATAGTTCAGGCAGCACTTCACACTACCAATGGAAAAATTTTCGAAACTGTTCTTGTCTGTGCTTTATTTGAAATATGATCTGATTGCCGTTCAAACATTTGTTTTGTACTGTACAACTGTTTTTTGATTTTGTTAAAAACTCTTGATACATTTTTACGCGTTTTTGCCGTGCAGCGCTAGAGCGCTGCAACATGCAGCAAAACGCATATTGCAACGACCCTGTCAGTGTGTGTGTGTGTGTGTGTGTGTGTGTGT